CTCTCCTCCCTTTTTTTCCCCCTTCCTCCCCCCCCTTTTTCTCCTTTTTCCCCCTCCTTCTTCCCCTTCTTTCCTCCCTTCCTCCCCCCCCTTTCTCCTCCCCCCCCCCCCCCCTTCTTTCCCCCCCCTTTTTTCCTTCCCCCCCTCCCCCCCCTCTCCCCCCTCTCCTTCCCTTCCTTTTTTCTTCCCTCCTTCTCCTCCCCCTCCCCCCTCCCCCCCCTCCCCCCCCCCCCCCCCTCTTCCCCCCTCCCCTCCTCCCTTCCCTCTCCTCCCCTTCTTTTCTCTCTCCTCTTCTTCCTTCCCTCCTTCTCTTCCCCTCCCCCCCCCCCTCCTTTTCTTTCTTCCTCTCTCCCTCTTCCCCCTTTTTTCTCTTCTTCCCCTTTTCCTTTCCTTCCTCCCTTTCTCCTCTCTCCTTCCCCCTCTCTTCTCTCTTTCCTTCCCCCTCATCCCTCCTCTCCCCCCTTTTTCTTCCCTTCCCTCCCCCTTCCCCTCTTCCCCTCCTCCTTCTCTTTCCCCCTCCTCCCTTTCCTTCCTCTCCTTCTCTTTCTCTTCTTCTCTCTCCCCCCCCCCCCCTTCCTTCTCTTTCCCTCCCCCTTCCCTCCTTTCTTTCCCTCCCTTTCTTCCCCTTCTCCCTTCCCTCTCTCTCCTTTTTTTTTTTCTTCCCCCCTTTTTCCTTTTTCCTCCCTTCCCCCCCTCCCCCCTTCTCTTTTCTTTTCTCCCCTCCCCTCTTCTCTTTTCCCCCTTCCTCTTCCCCTTCCCCCCCCCTTCCTCTCTTCCTTCTTCTCTCCCCTCTTCCTTTTTCTTTTCTCCTCCCCCCTTTCCCCCCTTCCTCCTTCCTCTCCCCCCTCTCTCCTTCTTTTCCCCCCTCTCCTCCCTTCTCCCCTCCCCCCTTTCTTTCCCCTCCTTTTCCTTTTTCTCCCCTTCTCCTCCCTCCCCTTCCCTCTTCTTCTTCCCTTCTTCCCCCTTCTTTTCTCCCTTTCTTCTTCTTTTTTCTTCCTCCCCTCTCTCTCCCCTTTCTTCCCTTCTCCCTTCTCCCTTCTCTTTTCTTCTCTTTTTCTTTCCTCTCTTCTCCTTCCTTCTCTCCTTCCCCCTTCCTTTTCCTTTCCTCTTTTCTTCTCTCTCCTCCCCTTTCTCTCTCTTCCTCTCTCTTCTCTCCTCTTTTCTTCCTTCCCTTCCTCTCTCTTCTCCCTCTCCCCTCCTTCTCTTTCCTTCCTTTCTTTCTCTTTCCCCCCTCCTTCCCTCTTCCTTCTTCCCTTTTTCTCTCTCTCTTTCCCCTCTCCCCCCCCCTTTTTCTCTCCCCCCCCTCTCTTCCCCTCCCCCTTCTTTTCCCTTTCTTCTCTTCCCTTCCTTCTCTCTCCTTCTCCTTCCTCCTTCCTCCCCCTCTCTTTTCTCTCTCCTCCTCTCTTCCTTCTCTTCTTCTCTCTTCCCTCTCTTTTTTCCTCCCCTCTCTCTCTCCCCCTCCTTTCCCCCCCCCTCTCTTCCTTTTCTCCTTTTCCTTCCCCTCTTTCCCCCTTCCCTTCTCTCCCTCTCTCCCTCCTTCTCTTTCTTTCTCCTCTTCCTTCCCTCTTTCCCCTTCCCCCTTCCTCCCTCTCCTTCCCCTCTCTCTTCCTCTCTTCTCCCCCTCTCCCCCTCTCCTCCTCTCCTCCTCCTCCCTCCTCCCCCTCTCTTTTCCCTCCCCTTCTCTTCCCCCCTTCTCCCCTCCCTCCTTCTCCTTTTCCCCTCTCCCCTCCCTTCCCTTCTCTCTCCTCCTCTCCTTCACTCCCCCTCCTTCCTTCCTTCTCCTCCCTTCTTCCCCCCTCCTCCTTCCCTCTCTCCCTCCTCCTTCCTCTCTCCTTCCTTCCCTTCCTTTCCTCTTTCCCCCTCCTCTCCTCTTCTCCTCTCTCCTCTCTTTCCTCTCTTCCTCTCTCCTCCTTTCCTCCCTCTCCCTTCTCCTTCCTCTCTCTTTCCTTCTCTTCCCCCTTCTCCCTCTCTCCTCTCTCCTCTCCCTCTCTCCTCTCTCTCCTCTCCTCTCCCCCTCTCTCCCCTCTCTCTCTCCCTTTTCCTTCTCTCTCCCTTTCTCTCTCTCTCTCCTCTCTCTCTCCTCCCCCTTCCTTCTCCCTCTCCCTTTCCTCCTCCCCCCTCCCTCCCTTCTCCTCCTCCCCCTCTCCCCCTTCCCCTTCCTCCCCTTCCCTTCCTCCCCTTCTCCCTCTCTCTTCTTCTTCCTCTCTCTCCTTCCTCTCTCCTCTTTCCCTTTTCCTCCTCTCTCTCTCTCTCTTCCCTTCTTTCTCTCCTCTCTTCTCCCTTCTTCTCTCGTTCCCTCTCTCCTCTTCCTCCTCTCTCCCTTTCTTCTCTCTCCTTCTCTTTCTTCCTCCTTCTTCCCTCTCCCTCCCTTCCTTCTTCTTCTCTCCTCTTCTTTTTCTCTTCTCTTCTCTCTCTTCTTTTCCCTCCTCTCCTCTCTTCTCTCTCCTTCCTCTCCTCTCTCTTCTCTCTCCTTTCCTTCTCTTTTCCTTTTTTCCTTTCTCTCTCCTTCCCCCTCTTTCTCCTTTCCTCCTCCCCCTTTTCTCTTCCTTCTCTCCTCCTCCATCTCTCCTTCTTCTCTCCCTCTCCCCTTCCCCTCCCCCCTCTCTCCTCTTCTCTTTTCCCCTCCTCTCCTTCTCTCTCCTTCTCCTTCCTTCCCTCTCTCCTTCCTCCTCTCCCCTCTTCTCCTTCTCTCCTTCACTCCTCCTTCTCTTTCCTTCTCTTTTTTCCTTTTCTCTCTCCTCCTCTCCTTTCTTCTTGTTTCTCTCTCTCCTTCTCTTGTCCTCTCTACCTTCCTCCTTCTCTCGTCCTTCTCTTGTCCTTCACTTGTCCTTCTCGTGTCCTTCTCTCGTCCTTCTCTTCTCCTTCTCTCGTCCTTCCCCCGTAGAGATATGGACGATCCTCTGTCCCCCCGTAGAGATATGGACGATCCTCTGTCCCCCGTAGAGATATGGACAATCCTCTGTCCCCCCCGTAGAGATATGGACGATCCTCTGTCCCCCCGTAGAGATATGGACGATCCTCTGTCCCCCCGTAGAGATATGGACGATCCTCTGTCCCCCCGTAGAGATATGGACGATCCTCTGTCCCCCCGTAGAGATACGGACGATCCTCTGTCCCCCCGTAGAGATACGGACGATCCTCTGTCCCCCGTAGAGATACGGACGATCCTCTGTCCCCCCGTAGAGATATGGACGATCCTCTGTCCCCCCCCCTCTGTCCCCCCGTAGAGATACGGACGATCCTCTGTCCCCCCGTAGAGATATGGATGATCCTCTGTCCCCCCGTAGAGATATGGACGATCCTCTGTCCCCCCGTAGAGATATGGACGATCCTCCGCCCCCCCCCCATAGAGATCAGCGCTGCCTTCCGCCAGTAACAGCTGGCACTCCTCTCTGGCCCAGAGCATGTTGTGTGATGTCATGGTGTAAAGGAGCGGAGTGGCTGGAACCTCATGGGCAGATCAGGGGGGCGGGAGCAAGGCAAGCCGGAAGCGGGACTGTCAGTGCTGTTTGGACTGGAGGGACCATCACTGTGACTCTGGAGGGGGCGTGTCTTGTCAGTGAGGCGTCACCCTCATCGGTGCTGTCAGTGTCACTGTGACTCTGGAGGGGGCGTGTCTTGTCAGTGAGGCGTCACCCTCATCGGTGCTGTCAGTGTCGCTGTGACTCAGAAATAGGCGTGTCTTGGTGGTGAGGCGTCGCCCTCATCCAGGGGCGGACTGACAACTCATGGGGCCCCTGGGCAATAGGGGATCATGGGACCCCTGTGTCCTCGTTCACACCCAAAAAAGCCTTTGAAAAAAGCCAATGAAAGGTACCAGGGGCATCTCATGGGGCCCCCTACTGACCCCGGGCCCTCGGGCAGTGCCTAAGTGCTGGAATGGTCAGTCCGCCTCTACCCTCATCAGTGCTGTCAGTGTCATGCGTGTGCTTCCCGCCCATCCTAGTCCCCCCCCCCCCCAGTCCTGTCCCTGAGCCACTTATATATCCAAAATCGGAAATCTGTCATTTGAAGATTTGGAAGTTTAAATCCGTATTTTTTATTTTTTTTATAGAAAATTACTTATAACCCCCAAACATTGTGTGTATATATATATATATTTTTTCTTTTTTTACAAAGACCCTAGAGAATGAAATGGCGATTGTTGCAATTTTTTCTGTCCCGCGGTATTTACGCAGCAATTTTTAAAACGCAATTCTTTGGGAAAAATTACACTTTATTGAATAAAACAACAAAACCCGATATATATATATATATACATCCCGATGTCGTGTAAGATATGAAAGAGGATGTTACGGCGAATAGATAACGTCACGCTGCTGGAATAGCGAGAAACTGCGACACTTAAAAATCTCCACAGGAGACGCTGTAAGAATGTTTTCAGGTTACCAGCTGAGAGTTACAGAGGAGGTCCGGCGCTAGAATGATTGCTGTGATGTGTGCGGTGATATGTTACATGTATATACATCTATGTAACGTGTGCTGCCAACACCGTTTACGTATGCGTTCGCTTCTGCGCGTGAGCACGGAGGAATTGGAGCACTTAAAATTTTTTTGGTTTGTTTTTGACACTCTCCCTTTATTGTTTTTATCCCTTTTATTCCTATTACAAGGAGTGTACACATCTCTTGTGATGGAAATAGGCATGACAGGTCCTCTTTATAGAGATCTGGGGTCAAAAAGACCCCAAATCTCTCCTTTACCTCTAAAAGCAAAAGATCAAAAAAAAAATTTTTTTTTTTAACTTTTGCTTTAAAAAAGAAATAAATGTGTTTACGTCCGCCGCCATCCGGATGTGACGTCATGATGTCGTGCCAGTCCTCCATCATGATAGAGGCGATCAAGGCCATCTTGCATGGCCTCCATCTTCAGCCGGCCGGACCATTTCTCGGGCGCGCTGTTTTTAATGGTGAGCCTGAGAAAAACCTACAAGATTGGGAGGGGATTGGAACACCTGAATCACATGATTGGAGGGGATTGGAACACCTGAATCACACGTCTGGGAGGGGATTGGAAAACCTGAATCACATGATTGGGAGGGGATTTGAACACCTGAATCACATGACTGGGAGGGGATTGGAACACCTGAATCACATGATTGGAGGGGATTGGAACACCTGAATCACATGTCTGGGAGGGGATTGGAACACCTGAATCACATGATTGGGGGGGGATTGGAACACCTGAATCACATGATATGGAGGGGATTGGAACACCTGAATCACATGATTGGGAGGGGATTGGAACACCTGAATCACATGATTGGGAGGGGATTGGAACACCTGAATCACATGATTGGGAGGGGATTGGAACACCTGAATCACATGTCTGGGAGGGGATTGGAAAACCTGAATCACATGATTGAGAGGGGATTTGAACACCTGAATCACATGACTGGGAGGGGATTGGAACACCTGAATCACATGATTGGAGGGGATTGGAACACCTGAATCACATGTCTGGGAGGGGATTGGAAAACCTGAATCACATGATTGGGAGGGGATTTGAACACCTGAATCACCTGATTTGGAGGGGATTGGAACACCTGAATCACATGATATGGAGGGGATTGGAACACCTGAATCACCTGATTGGGAGGGGATTGGAACACCTGAATCACCTGATGGGAGGGGATTGGATTGGAACACCTGAATCACCTGATTGGGATTGGGGATTGGAACACCTGAATCACATGATTGGAGGGGATTGGAACACCTGAATCACATGACTGGGGGGGATTGGAACACCTGAATCACATGATTTGGAGGGGATTGGAACACCTGAATCACATGATTGGGGGGGGATTGGAACACCTGAATCACATGATATGGAGGGGATTGGAACACCTGAATCACATGATTGGGAGGGGATTGGAACACCTGAATCACATGATTGGGAGGGGATTGGAACACCTGAATCACATGATTGGAGGGGATTGGAACACCTGAATCACATGTCTGGGAGGGGATTGGGAAACCTGAGTCACATGATTGGGAGGGGATTTAAACACCTGAATCACATGACTGGGAGGGGATTGGAACACCTGAATCACATGATTGGAGGGGATTGGAACACCTGAATCACATGATTGGGAGGGGATTGGAACACCTGAATCACATGATTGGAGGGGATTGGAACACCTGAATCACATGACTGGGAGGGGATTGGAACAACTGAATCACATGATATGGAGGGGATTGGAACACCTGAATCACATGATTGGAGGGGATTGGAACACCTGAATCACATGTCTGGGAGGGGATTGGAACACCTGAATCACATGATATGGAGGGGATTGGAATACCTGAATCACATGATATGGAGGGGATTGGAACATCTGACACAGGGGATTGGAACATCTGAATCACATGATATGGAGGGGATTGGAACATCTGAATCACATGATATGGAGGGGATTGGAACACCTGAATCACATGATATGGAGGGGATTGGAACACCTGAATCACATGATATGGAGGGGATTGGAACACCTGAATCACATGATTGGGAGGGGATTGGAACACCTGAATCACATGATATGGAGGGGATTGGAACACCTGAATCACATGATATGGAGGGGATTGGAACACCTGAATCACATGGTATGGAGGGGATTGGAACACCTGAATCACCTGATTTGGAGGGGGGCAATACGTGGGGCAATATATTGTGTATGTATATACTGTATATACTGTGGATGTAAGACGTGGCATTTCCTGTATTATAACTAATGAGCTCATCACCTCCTCCCCCATCTCTCCATGTCTGTGGGGTCCTCAAATCCTCTACTGCTCCCCACAATTCAGATTGTTCCCCATGGAGCAGCGAATATCTGACCTCAGGATCCATCATGTCCCATCGGGATGGTGAGACCCCCTGGAGCCTTCTACAATGTGTTATGAAGACCCCGCACTGCACTCACATCATTGGTCTCATTGGTGGTGTCAGTGGCAGTCTGGGGGGAGCACTCAGGAAAGCTGCAAATCATTTCTCTGTACTAATTTCCTGACACCATAAATGAAGAAAGTTCTTCATCATGAAGGAAAGTTGGACATGAGGAACCTTCACTCATCACTCGGCAGGTTTGTAGAATCCTTCGGGGGACGTCTAATAGATGCGTTGACACTGCGTCTGTCTTCACCAAGTCCAGAGATGAGGTCACCAAGGAATTATGGGATCCACCAACGTAATGAAATGACCGATATGGAGAGACGCTGAACGCTGTAACTGAATAGAAATGTCCCCGACACGTCACCAGAACTCAGTCACTCATCTATTAACAATGACTGGGGTGTCAGCCACATGGGGAGAGCATTGTTTTCAGGGAATCAGTAACCTCATAGGGGGGATTTACTAAAACTGGAGCACTCAGAATCTGGTGCAGCTGTGCATGGGAGCCAATCAGCTTCTACCTTCAGCTTGTTCAATGAAGCTTTGGCAATAAAACCCGGAAGTTGATTGGTCCCTATGGAGAGCGGCACCAGATTCTGCACTCTCCAGTAAATCTCCTCCATAGACTTGTATTGTGAGCAGGAGAAGTAAAGTACAACCTTTCTGTGGCTTTGCCATTTCCTGTTGGAGACCTCAGTGTGAATGTTGTGTCTTGTCATGGCGGAGGGATCAGGGGAGGTCAGTGGACTGAGCGCAGAGGGAGATCAATACTCCTGGATGGAAGAGATTTCCAGCATCTCTTCAGTAGAGCCCTGTTCAGATCCGGGAGAGGTCAGCGTTCACATTGAAGTGGGATTTAGGCCGATGTGGGGTCATGGGAGCGTTCACCAGTATGTACAGCAGACTTGTCCATTATGGTATACTTACCTCCACCGGCACTGATAGACCTGCATTGTCTGTGGCTGCCATCTTCTCCACCTCGTCTTCCTCATCCAGCATCTTCGTCTATTGGCCATTGGGTGTCCAATATTGATGTATGAGAAGAGGACATACATAGACGAGTCTACTGAGAATCTCTACCTACCTCCATCTACAGAAATGACTGAACAGATGTCTCATTGGACCTGCATCGTCTGTGGCTGCCATCTTCTCCACCTCGTCTTCCTCATCCAGCGTCTTCCTCCATTGGCCATTGGGTATCCAATGTTGATGTATGAGAAGGAAGAGGACTTACATAGACGAGTCTACTGAGAATCTCTACCTACCTCCATCTACAGAAATGACTGAACAGATGTCTCATTGGACCTGCATTGCCTGTGGCTGCCATCTTCTCCACCTCGTCTTCCTCATCCAGCGTCTTCCTCCATTGGCCATTGGGTGTCCAATATTGATGTATGAGTAGAAGGAAGAGGACATACATAGACGAGTCTACTGAGAATCTCTACCTACCTCCATCTACAGACGATCTCTACCTACCTCCATCTACAGACTACCACTGAGGTAGTCAGCAGAGTCTTCTCAGAAGCCCGCCTCACTACCTGCGCCCTGGACCCTATCCCCTCTCAACTCCTCCGGTCACCCCCCTCTTCCCTCATCCGCTCCCTTACCCACATCTTTAATCTCTCCCTCTCTACTGGCGTCTTCCCCTCCCCCCTAAAACATGCGCACATCACCCCCATACTCAAAAAGCCCTCCCTGGACCCCACTGACCTCAACAACCTCAGACCCATCTCCCTGCTGCCACTCACTTCCAAGCTCCTTGAGCACTTGGTCTTCGATCGCCTAAGCGCCCACCTAACTGACAGCAACCTCCTTGACCCACTACAGTCTGGCTTCCGTCCCCTACACTCCACCGAAACTGCCCTCCTCAAAATCACCAACGACCTACTTACCGCCAAAGGCGACTACTCTGTCCTCCTCCTCCTAGACCTCTCCGCGGCCTTTGACACAGTCGACCACCCCCTCCTCCTTAATAAACTACTCTCCCTTGGCATCAGAGACACCGCTCTCTCCTGGTTCTCGTCCTATCTATCCCAACGCTCTCCTTCAGCGTTTCCTACAATGGTGCCACCTCCTCCTCACTCCCCCTCTCTGTTGGGGTCCCCCAGGGCTCTGTCCTTGGACCCCTTCTCTTCTCCATCTACACCTCCTCCCTTGGCAAACTCATACACTCCCACGGCTTCAATTACCACCTCTATGCTGATGATACTCAAAATCTACCTATCCACCCCTCACCTCACCCCCTCATTCTCCGCCCGCATCACTCACCTCCTAAACGACATCTCTGACTGGATGTCGCTCCATTTCCTCAAACTAAACCTCTCCAAAACCGAGCTTCTCATCTTCCCCCCAGCCCGCCCCCCCCCCCCCCCATCCTTTCCATCACTACCAACAACACCCTCATCAATCCCGCCCAGCAAGCCAAGGTCCTTGGCGTCATTCTGGACTCAAACCTTTCCTTCCAACCTCATGTCCAATCACTTACAAACACATGCAGACTCCACCTCCGGAACATCTCCAAGATACGTACGTTCCTTACCCCAGACACCACTAAACTACTAGTACACTCCCTGATTATCTCACGCCTGGACTACTGCAACTCCCTCCTCACCGGCCTACCCCAGTGCAGGCTCTCCCCGCTTCAGACCATCCTGAACTCAGCGGCCAGACTCATCCACCTCACCAGCCGCTCCACCTCTGCCACCCCCCTCTGCCTCTCCCTCCACTGGCTCCACCCCCCTCTGCCTCTCCCTCCACTGGCTCCACCCCCTCTGCCTATCCCTCCACTGGCTCCACCCCCCCTCTGCCTATCCCTCCACTGGCTCCACCCCCCTCTGCCTCTCCCTCCACTGGCTCCCTATTGCCCAACGCATTAAATTCAAATTGCTCACCCTGACCTATAAGGCCATTCACAACACTGCCCCTAACTACCTCACCGACCTGATTCCCAGGTACCACCCTACCCGTACCCTTCGCTCCTCACAGGACCTCCTTCTATCCTGCTCCCTGGTCTCCTCCTCCCACGCACGACTGCAAGACTTCTCCAGGTCCTCCCCCATCCTCTGGAACTCACTACCCCAATCCATCAGACTGTCACCTTCCCTCCTCACCTTCAGGCGCTCCCTGAAAACCCACCTCTTCAGGGAAGCCTACCCCACCCTCACCTAACAGCCGCTGCCCTTCCCTCCTCCTACCACTCCATCCCCCACAGCCGTTTCCTCCTGTGCCTCTACCCCCTCCCTTTTAGATTGTAAGCTCGAAAGAGTAGGGCCCTCTAACCCCTCGTGTACTGTTTGTTGTTACTGTTCTGTTTCATGTATTGTCCCCCCTCTATTGTACAGCGCTGAGCAAACCCTTTGGCGCTATATAAACTCGATAAATAAATAAATAAATAAATCTACAGAAATGACTGAACAGATGTCTCATTGGACCTGCATTGCCTGTGGCTGCCATCTTCTCCACCTCGTCTTCCTCATCCAGCGTCTTCCTCTATTGGCCATTGGGTGTCCAATGTTGATGTATGAGTAGAAGGAAGAGGACATATATAGATGAGTCTACTGAGAATCTCTACCTACCTCCATCTACAGAAATGACTGAACAGATGTCTCATTGGACCGATTTCGTATTGTACACAAATCATGGATGTTACTCATCTCGAGTTCTTCTCGTTGAGATGTAGAGGTGGAGTGTGATAAACCATCACCGGGATCTCCAGTAGCTGAGATGATAGGGATGAGTGCCAGCAGTATGACCACACACACCATGCGGTATTCCTTGTATCCAGGTAACCCCATTGTATGGGTCGGGGTGGAGAGCACTTTACATGGACCTGTGGGTGCCAAACACCTGCTTGTACGGGAGAAGAGGAGAACGCCTTTTTGTTCCACAAACACGGGGCCTGTTAGCTACTCTTACCTGCGCTAAGCCCTCGAAGATTCTCATTGTTTCCAATGTATTGCTTCTATGAAATGAGCGTGGAGCCAAGCTGCTGGGAAGCACACAATGCTGGAATCTGCCCCGGGGCCCTTACGTTCTGGGCCGTCTGTTAGCAGGATGTATCCATCCAGAGACTCGCATGCCAAAAACCCTGAGAGCCACATTCCTGTGTCAGTCAATCATCGAGAATTATGCTGCACTTCCAAACACAAAGACGGCAACGCCGCACTTCATCTCAAACAAGACTCCGAAGATTGGTAACAAAATTACCAGCAATTGTTTACTCTGCGGAGCTGGGATGGTCCGCGCTCAATGGAACCCGCGGCACGGCTCATAGAGAGGCTTTCATGGAACCGCCAATCCCTTGTCAGCGCAGGAGAAGAACGCTCGCAGCTTTAACCCATCCCTTGTCAGCGCAGGAGAAGAACGCTCGCAGCTTTAACCCATCCCTCGTCAGCGCAGGAGAAGAACGCTCGCAGCTTTAACCCAACCCTCGTCAGCGCAGGAGAAGAACGCTCGCAGCTTTAACCCATCCCTTGTCAGCGCAGGAGAAGAACGCTCGCAGCTTTAACCCAACCCTCGTCAGCGCAGGAGAAGAACGCTCGCAGCTTTAACCCATCCCTCGTCAGCGCAGGAGAAGAACGCTCGCAGCTTTAACCCATCCCTCGTCAGCGCAGGAGAAGAACGCTCGCAGCTTTAACCCAACCCTTGTCAGCGCAGGAGAAGAACGCTCGCAGCTTTAACCCATCCCTCGTCAGCGCAGGAGAAGAACGCTCGCAGCTTTAACCCAACCCTTGTCAGCGCAGGAGAAGAACGCTCGCAGCTTTAACCCATCCCTCGTCAGC